AGAAAAAAATCATGAGGCCCTATCACAGTGGTGGCAAACCTATGGCACGTGTGCTAGAGGCGGCACTCGGAGCCCTCTCTGTGGGCACACACACTGTTGCCCCAGCCCCGCCTCCTCCTACAGCACCCTCCTCACCAGCAGCCCCCAGAGGAGAGTTGCCCCTGGGCATGGCCCACATGAAGCAGCACAGCCAAGGACATGGTAGCCGGGCAGCAGGGACAAGACTCCGCCCTTGTGCCCCATCGTGCGCAGATGATGCTGTGGGGCACAAGTGGAGGGCGTGGCCACCATGGCGCTGCGGGGCTACCTGGGTGATCTATGGTGGGCCGTGGAGGTGGTGGGTAGCCCAGTGGGCACGGCGGAGCGGAGACGGGTGGGGGGGCGGGTTTTGGGCACTCGGTCTCTGAAAGGTTCACCATCACTGCCCTATCACTATCTGGCTAGCAAGTTTCTGATTCAAATAATATTGTTGAAACAGCAAATCATCTATTACATTGTTTCTCCCAACTTTCCCAATCATTAGAGAGAAGGAAGAATTAGAGTCAGTAGCTGGAATACACTTATATTTCAAATGCAAGGACAAATGTCCACTCGTCCATTAATGAACTCAAATAATAATACAACGATTATTCCAGAGTGTCACATATCCCATTTCAGCTATGTATCCAAGCAGTCTGCTGGATCCCAGAAAAAGCTCCCAGTAACCTGTTCTCCACAGTGGCCACAACCTCCTGAGATGTTTACATAAGTCTACAGCAGCCTCCTGCTGCTGCTTTCTTGCCACAGTTCATTAGGACAAGGCTCCTCTGATCTTGGAAGACGGCATATGATCATCATAAGTAACTAGTACTTTTTTTTCATTTCAAGTTATAAAATCCTTAGTGCCTTTTGTAATAGGGAAAATGTACCAGCCCTCTCATAATTTCAATTCACTTTTTTTTTTTTTTACTTTTTCTAGTTTTGGAACAAACTTTGAACTGCAGCAAAAAAAAAAAACACCTGAGCACACTATTTTAAAAGTTGTTCCATTATAGATTTGCATAGTTAAAGAATATTGCATTTGCCATAGGATACTATCTAAACTAAGTATTAAATCTATGGTTTTCTATGCCTTGCTAACCTAATGCACTTTCCCAACTGAATGCCCTCTATATGAGTTCCGTATTACCAGTCTTGTAGGCTATTGTATGGAATGACATCATCAGGTATAATTTCCATGTTCCCAAAAGTGCTTGGAAAGCATGAAGATTGATAACATGCTCCGGTATCTATACTGAAAACTTCTTTTTTTGCCCCGTCCCTGTAGCAAAGAAACACCTGCGTTTCAGCATTGAAGCTGCAAAAACCAATGCAAATCCAAATTAACTGTAATTTGCTAGTAGTGTTTTTAAAATTTTGGTCACTGACTGGGATAAAGCAGACTGCCAAAAAGTTCACCCATAATACTTATGGATTTAAGATGTATAAATAAAGTGCCCCATGATCTACATTCAGACTATCAGACCAATGTTGCAAAATCACTTGTTATATTGTCTCTGATACAAGTTATATTCTATTTAAATATAAACAGTTTAAAGACTCAGTTATATTATATAGCATACCATCAGGCTAGTATTAAATTTATAAAATCTCTGGACAGTTCTGTCACTGAAACTGTTACACAAATTTTTCTTCACAAAGTTTGGATGATTTAGGATATCATTTGCCACAAGAGGTTCCTACAAATAAAAAGTAAAAGACTGTTAATAGTGTTATAATTTTACAAATATCAGCAGTGTAATTTCTCTTCTTAAACTGGCAGTTATATCTATGCACAAACAGTACTTGAGTTACAAGGGAAATTGGGACTGGAATTTCTATCACTAAGCAGTGTGGTTGTAAAGAACAACATCACACGATTGCATCACTTAGCAACAGCATACTGGCAGTTCTGGTTGCCATCATAACCCCAGGACCACATGGGGGTTTTGCAGGCAAGCAGGCCAGTGGATGCATGGAGGGGCAGGGGACACTGTGAGCAGCTGCTTCGGAGTGTCACCTGATGCTGTGGGAGATCAGGATATGCAGTGGGCAGGCACTATGGAGCACAGGCAGACAAAAATAGTGGGAGCAGGAGCGACTTCTAACTTTCAACTGGCTTCCCCGTTCACTTTGCTTGTGGGAAGCAAGCAGGGATCATGAAGAGCTTCCAGTGAACATTACTCGCAATGGAGGAATGGATGGTGAAGATGATGGAACTTGCCGAGATGGCCAAAGATAGTTCTGATCAGAGGAAAGACATTATCTGAATGTATTGCTGACTGGATAGCCTTCATAGACATTTTGCATGAAGCAGGACAAAATGAATGTATAGTATATGGCTTCGATGATTAGAAAAAAATAGATTAAAGAAAAAAATGAAAGCTACGGTGCAACCATACAGCAAGAGATAAATTTATACTTAAAACTGTTGTAAAGAAAATTAGAAACTACTTCTTATGCTTTCTTTTTTCCTTTTTTCTGCAATTTTCCTTTTTTCTATTATTCTCTTTAAATATTAATTTTGTTAGTTTTTACTTGTATTTATTAAAATTTCAATTAAATTATATTTTTAAAAAAGTGATTGTGATCACATAACCATGGCTTGCTGTCATAATTGTGAGCTGGTAACCAAAGCACCTAGACCACAATCACATAACTGTGAGGATGCTGCAACAGCTGCAACTCTGCAGACTTGGTCATAAGTCCCCCTCATTTAATGCTGTTGTAACTTTGAATAGCTGTTGAATGTGTGGTTGTAACTCAAGGACTACTTATATATCAAAACACCATGGAGCAGGCAAACCTTGTGTGTGATATGTTGTTGTTCTACTGGAGCATGAGCTTTCGGATCAATAAGAGTTGGATGTGCCACAAGATATCCTCTGTCTTCCATAATAAAACATCTATCAAAAAGCAAACAGTAAAAGAAATCATAGATCAGAATACATGTATTATTAGGTAGCAGGCTGTATAGTTTGCCAAACAAGCATGTGCATGCAAAACATATGTGTTTGTTTATCTAGACCAGGGGTCCCCAACCCCCAATCTGTGGACTAGTACCGGGTTGTGGCATGCCAGCAACCGGTCCGCACAAACAAGTAAAACTCCATCTGTGGAAAGCAGGCAGCACACAAAACCACGCCCACTCCAGTCTGCAGAAAAACCTCTCTCCACAGAACCGGTCCTTGGTGCCCAAAAGGTGGGGACCTCTGATCTAGACATTCCATTTAGATGCCACCCAACTCCAATCAATTCTTGGATACTCACAACAATAGAGCAACACAGAAAGAACAAAATACAAAAACATAAGCGAGGAAAAGGAATTAGGGATTGGAGAAAAACACGAAAGGTTGCAAGTTCCAAATTTCTGAAGCATAGAACCTCTTTTCCAAGTGTTCCTAATTTGGAACAAAGACATTATTTTGTTCTCAACTGCCAATTTCAGCAGTAGAACTTTGTGTGTTACAAGAGTCCTAAGATTGACTTCTAATGAATTTTTTAAGACAATTTCTAAAATGCATTGCACTGCCAAATTATAGTTGGCTTTCTATTTTTTGACAGTTGTTGCAGCCAAGGCCAGTTTCAACATGGAAAAAGTAGACACTACATTCAGATGAATTTGGAATAAAGTCCTCCCAATTCTAAAGCCATATAGAAATATTATTTGAGTGGGGAGGACTGTGATGTTCGTTGGGTATATTAAACTTAATTTTTGCTGGATTCAATGTTATTTCACATTCCAATAATGGAACACTTAGAGTATGTTGGGGGTCTTGTTTGACTGGAATTACATCACTTGAAGTAGTTCAAATTTTATTCCAACAGAAGGTTCAGAATGGGGTTGCTTTTCACTAAGGCTGAAATAAAATATCCCCTTAGGCAAATGCATGTAAATTACAGAATTTTGTGCCAAGCAGTGAAAGAATTTTCCAGCATGAGTTTCTAAGATTAATCCTCCGAGAAGAACTAAAGATACCATAAAGCCATATCAATCAAGTTTCACTTATCCCAAGTAGCCTAGGATGATATTAGATTCAGTAGCGGCGAAAGTAGTTGAGAGGTCTAATAATCACATCAACCCATTATTTGTCCAGTCATTAGTGAATATTGTATCACCAAAGTGACCCAAACAGTTTCTGTTTCACAGCTACATCTAAAACAATGTTTCTCAACCTTGACAATTTTAAGGCATGTGGACTTCAACTCCCAGAATTCCACAGCCAACGTTGCTGGCTATGGAATTCTGGGAGTTGAAGTTTATATGCCTTAAAATTGTCAAGGTTGAGAAACACTGATCTAAAATCATATTGAAATATTCTACTTTATCGAAAAATGCCAGCCATCAGATGAGTTATCCTAAATTTTGTAAATTTTTCATTATCTTTCACCGAAGATGGAAGACAAGGGCAGAATTTTCTTTTTTCTTTTTAATCAATCAGCCTGGTGATCATAACTCATAAAACTGTGGAAAAGATACAGAAAAGATCTATGTATCCCTTTTATATTCCATAATTTCATCAATAATCTTGCAATCTTACACACTTAGCATGGAAGAAAATGGTTAATATTTCTGAGTAGAGCTGCATTGTAAGCGTAATTTTACCAAGAATATACTGATTTGTTTTGGAGGACGTAGTGGGGGTTAAAGGGGAAAGGAGAATAGTTTGCTTCCCAATCTGTTCCAATCTTTCTTATTTTGCAAAAAAAAAAAAAAAAAAAAGATCATGCCATGATCAAGAACACAATCTCAAAGTGCTGTGCTTGGCAAGATGGCAAATAACTTGTAGTCAATACAAGTAGTCAATCTATACAAGTCCAACAGTATAGGTTGCTTCTGGAGCCCGAGATATATAGTGCTACATGGTCTTTCATTCTAGCTTTCCTTGCTAGATAATTGCATTCTCTCTTCTTTTTTTACTATTTGTCTTGTCTTCAGCATCTATTTCTTCTCATTGTTCAATGTATTTCCTTTCCTCCAGCTCATTCTCAAGGTTAAGAATCAGATGATTGATGGGCAGCAGCAGGGAGGTAATATACCTATGGACAATAGGCTGGGACAAACGGACCTCTGGAAGTGATTAATGCCGATCATTTAATGCATTGATGAAGGAGGAAAGGATCCCATCTCTTGGTCAAACTGGAAACCAAGCACTTCTTCAAATCTGAATACAGGTCATCTCAACATCTGTTTTTGTTCATTTATGCATGCAATTCTTCAATACTTAAGGTGTTTCCCCATGTTTTCATCCTCGTGCAATATTCATTTTTGTCTTCCAATTTTATATACCTATCAAATATACCCTTAAATATTTCAGAAATCAAACAATCTCTTGATTAGAAAAAGCAAATATCACTGAAAACTAGTTGATTTCTGAATTGAACTGCAAGCTATTTGTCTTCTTGACACAGATTAAAAGACTTTCTTTCAGAATTAAGATTTTGACTATTTTAATTTTTCTCCTAACATCTAGAATTTCTGTCAGGCTTAATGGCATCAAACTGTAGTGTAGTAAATGGAAAGAATACACACACACACACACACACACACACACACACACACACAGTATAAAATTAAAGCAAAGGGATTGCGTATCATTTTACCTTATTTTATTGCCTCCGTCTTGGTTACAAACTGGTAACAGGTCCATTAGTACTTTGTAGAAATATCGCAGAGTAAAATCAATGCCCATCACCGCAACAGAATGGCCAGAAGACATCTGTGAGCTACAAACAAGCATAAGAGCACCTCTTGAGAGACTAAGAATTAAGAAAATAGCCAAAATATTGCCTAGAAAGGGGAATTTAAAGGAGTAAGAACTCTGTAAATTATATATAGCTTTTTAATCTTGGACTTTCACAAACAATAGGAGCAAGCATTCATAACTTAATTCATCTCTGCAGATTCTCCTGCAGAGAACAAAAGAAAACAAACAGAAACTTAACAGAAACAGCTTTGTCTGGGTCCTGATTATATGCACATGGGTCTGTATGCTTTCATGCTACTGTATACCATTCAAGCTGGCAATAAAGACAAAACCAAAACTATAAAATAAGATCAGAGAAAAATCAAGAGCAAGAGGAAAAAGCAATTGCAAAAAGCAATATAGTAAACAACAACAACAAAAGAGGAGGCAGGTGCAACAGACGCAAGTCCTGCCCTGCAATGCTCTGGATTTTCCGTAAAGACGGCGCTTCAGAATACATTGCAGAGGAACAATCAGCTTCTGGATTGTTCCTTAAAGTCTCTGTGGGGTATTCCCCCCCCCCCAGAATGATGAGGCTCCTGCAGGGATGCATTCCCTACAATTGCATGATTCCAGAAAAAGATGCAGATGCTTTAAAGAGCTATAGTCTGGTGCTGTAATTGGTCTCCTATGTATTATATTCTGAAACGCATCTTCCAAATTAAATCTGAAACTATACACAATCCTACAATCGATAGCATGCTTATATCAGCAGTAAGCAAAAGGAAGGCTTTTAAGTAATCCATAAAAGACCTCCAGGGATGGCGCCAACGTTTGAAGCAGAAAATTCATCAATTTGGCTACAGTCGCAACATGTTGGTATGCAGTGGCTAATTTCATATGACAATCTAAGCTACCGATCTGTTTAAATGTATTTTCAATTAACCAACCTGCTAGACTGTAAGTTTAACATATTGCAGTAGTTTACCAACCACATTATGCTAAGCCAAAATCAAATAAATAGCTTAGTGGGATGTATGTATGCATTTTTTTCAGTAAACAATATTATAAAATTCAGCTGATGAGTCAAGATGGAAAATAGTAAATTAATCAACTGAGATGAAATAGTATCTGGCAAGTTTTCTTCACCTTTATTTCTTTCCTTCTAATCATACCATAAAATATTACTTACATGAGATATGTCACTAATTTTCTTTAAAACTGAATTAAAGTTTCAGTTGGCCAAATTTTTCTCAAGTGAATCAAGATTTTATGATTAGTGAGGGGTGTCCTAATGCAAATTAGAATTTTATACCTCTCATCTCTTCAGTCTTATACATTTAACAGTATATCAGCATGTTGAGCAGAATATTATTTTATTTTTTTTAACTTGGGTATCACACTTTTGTGCACTACATTTCTTAATTTAAATCAAAATCCTGGCCAAATTATTAGCAGGAAATGCTCAATTGACACATTACTTAATGTGAATAAAAGGAAGACAGGATAAGATAAAACAAGGGAAGTGGAGATATAATTTTAGGAATTCTCAAGAAACTGTACAAGCATGTATTTTCCAGAATGCTTTCTACAGCTAAATGAAAAGTTATGCAGGGAAAAAAACAAAGTATATTTAATTTAAAGAAAAGCCCCACTAAAAGAAGATAAGAACAAACCGAACATTTGCATTTACTGGATTATTAAAATCTAACAGAAAAAGCATTTTGCGGCACTTTAAAAAAAAATCTGTATTACAATTTATTTAGTATTCTCTGGCAATGCACAGAATTCTCATTTCGGAAAACCTTATTTTCAGCATCCATTTTTCTCTTGCATAAATAACTATATACACGAGAAGCAAAACAAGAGTTCTGTTTATAGCACTTTTAATTTGAAACCTGATCTTTTTCTAAACCATATAAAAATACAACACAACTGCTTTGTCCAAATTGAAAGGGTGACTGACTTTAGCTCTCCTGAAATTGGTACTGGTCTTCATTAAAATAAGAGCGATGGCAGATAAACTTCAAAAAGAGAAAAGAGCTGAAACGTAAACAAAAAACAAAGCAATAGATACAATCCCAGGGCTCATGACAGCCTCCAGGTCCCTCACAGCGTTCCAGCAGCTACAGAAATATAGACGCCTTACGTGGGTAGATGCTGTTTAAAGAATCAGATTCTTTTCAGCTTGTGGGGAACTGCATGGCCTTCAGACCTTCTGCCTATTAAAATTCTTCACAGCTTTTCACTTCCTCCCATCACGGGAAAGGGAATATGAATTCCCTGCAAAGATACTAAAAATTCCAAGTAGCTGAAAGGTCAAAAGCTCTGGTTTAGAAATGAATATGGACACCTAATTGCCCATCAAATTGGTTAGGAATTTAGGGTTTAGACCTGAAATCAGCTTATATTCAAATGTTCCTTTAGGGGATAAAATTCAGCTGGGGGAAGAAAAGTCTCTTTTCTGAAAAGATAATTGTATCAGGATTGCCTTGTCAAACTATTTTTTTTTTCTTTGCAGAAGAGATTAAGGATCCATGCGGGAATCCAAAAGAAAAGTCCTTTTCTGGCAAAAAATCTAGTTTTTGTATGCTACGCCACGATGCTGTAACACAAATCTGGTGCAATATTATGCATCCAGGATTCTCTCTTAAGCTATCTGGGGGGGGGGGGGAAACAAGTTATAATAGAAACTTAAAGGAAATAAAACTGCAGTATGGACAGAAGTGTCTCTAAATCAATGGGAAATAGTTACCCAATCAAAAAGCTTTACAGTCTTTATATACCTGTAAAACATAGTTGAAATAGGAAATAAATAACAAGGATCACAAGATACACACCCACACACAGACACATCCTATAGCCAAAAATCAGGAGGTGCCCCTTTTCAGACTACAGGTTGTCCTCGACTTACGACCACAATTGAGCCCTAAATTTCTGCGGTTAAGTGAGACATTTCTTACTTTGGCCCCATTTTACAAACTTTCTTGCCACAGTTGTTAAATGAATCACTGCAGTTGTTAAGTTAGTAACACTTCTGTTAAGTGAATCTAGTTTTTCCATTGACTTTGATTGTTAGAAGGTCACAAAAGGGGATCACATGACCCCGGGAAACTGCATAAATAGGAACCAATTGCCAAGCACCCAAATTTTCATCACTGTGACCCTGGGGATGCTGCAACAATCATAAGCGTGAAAAATGATTATAAGTCACTTTTTCAGTGCTGTTGTAACTTCGAACAGTCACTAAATGAACTGTTGTAACTCGAGGATTACCTGCACCACACTTTATCCAAGGGATAATAATCTCTTGTGGTGCATCTAATGAAATAAGCTATAGGTCATGACAGCTTAGGACTTTTGATAAAATGTAACTCTCAACCATTGATAGCAACCACCAATTCCTATTCATCCTGTTTCTCAACTTGAAATGCATGTATCATACACAATTTTACTTGGTTGTGCATCCTCAGCCTCTCTTCCTTCCCTCTCTCCTTTCGCCCGTTAAGTCTATGGCATATCATATCAAATCAGAGCCCAGGCAGAGAATGACAGTACAATAACCAAAGACTTTTAAGAAGTAAAGACTATACTATACACTCTTTTACTTTAAGTTCCCTATTTTCTCCTCTATAAAGTTCTGTGTTTTGTTGTATTCGCTGTATTTTGTTGTTTATAATTTAGGTAGGTTTCACATTGCATTTTTCCCTATGTAAGCCATCACATTGTTTAATTACAGTGGCATAGAAATATGCTGGATAAGTGAATAAATTCCCTGCAGTGGGAGAAACATTTTCCTAAGGCCATTTTTACATGGCATTGTTTTCACTCCCCAATCTCTCCTAAGCATTTCGAAGCCACCAATTTCAGGATGGCTTGGGATACTTTGAGCCAAACAATGTTCCCTTCAACAGCTAAAAGGATAATGCAAAAAACCATCATCTGTCAATTCCCTATCCCCTGAGCTATGGCGGTCCCTAAGTAACAAACATTCCCTAGCAGAAGGGATAAAAATTAAATTGCTAGCCTCCATTTTCAATGCATTCAGTATGCATTTGTCTGACTGCTTGGCAAGAAATCTGAGTGGCTGTTGCACAGAACAAGCTGCTTGCTCACTAAATGTCATTCTTCCTGCATATAAATTTCAAGTGAAATCTGTGGCAGTGCTAGGAATTCAAACCATGTTTTTTTTTCATGCCGTAAAATTGAGTCGAAATTAATCAGAAGACTAAGATGTGGCCTCATATAAAATTGCCCAGACAAGCTATGGAATTCACATGATGGCAGGAGTAGTGAGACCTTTTGTATGAGAGCCACGTCCAAACCCCATGAATCTCCAGCACTGCTAGTATTTTCAAAAGGAGATGCCCCAGAGAGGAATTCAGCGGTACAATATCAGTGGTAATTGTCATAAATGCCACGTGTGGAAGGCTCATAGGATTCATCCAGTTTCAATTCTATCTAACAAACCAGCCGTTTTTCAACTTATGTTGGCTTTGCAAGGTAATCCAGACAAGAAGCATGCCCAGATGAACTAGCTTTATTGTAAAATCACATTAGCAGAATTGTACTTCTGAAAATACATTTCTGCCCTATAGCTGTTACAGTGCAAGAAACAAGGGAGGATACTTTTTGAAATGTTGATAATGCCCACATTCCTGCTGTGGCCTAAGCTGCTGTTTATCCAATGGTTCCCCTGGCTTCAGCTCTTTCCCGACTCCCAAGGTCATTCCCACATACCCTTATA